GAAGAGCTCCGTCTTGCAGGCCCTGCGGAACTGTGCTAGGTCCCGCAGAGCCCTGATCTCCTCTGGGAGCTCATTCCACCAGATAGGAGCCGCCACCGAAAACGCCCTATTCCTGGTCATGGTTAATCTGATGGACCAGGGACCTGGAACATCCAACAGATGTTGGGTCCCCGACTGTAGTGCCCTTGGGGGAACATGCGGGGCAAGGGCACCTTAGGTAAACTGGCAGGGGAGGAGCTTTTGTGAGTCACTGCTCCCGTCAGAATTCCCAATGGGCTCACAGGCTCAAAAAGGTTGGGGGTCCTCTGATCTAGATACTGTAGTGTACCGGTGTCACTAATTTTTCCCCATCCGGTCTCTCTGGTAGAATATATATGGCTAAAACCAGGCTAATACTTCCCTGTTGCCAGTCGTCTCTGGAGTGTACTTTTTCACCTCACTAACCTGACGTTTCCTGTGTGAGAGATGTTATGGAATGCTGACAAACACTCTCACTGCTCAGAGGAAACCGCAATAGAGCAAGTGAGGAAAACTGAGGAAAGTGAAAGGCCGGCTGGTCCGGGAATACCCTAACAAGGGGGCCTAGAGGGGTAAAAGAAGGTGTGTGTATCGCCGACAGGTAAAGGAATTTGGGATGCTGAGGAACTGTCGGTCTGGAAGATAAAATGGGGGGGAGGGGGTGAGCCGAAATTCATATATTTTAAGCCAGCCAGATCTTTGTGGGTCTCTAGCGGCGTATCTATTTCAGTACCCTTTTTATGCGTAAACAAGGACAATGGCTTACATATGGCTATTTAAAGAAATCCATGCATGAAATAACTTCCCTCCAAGCTGCTCTCTCCGTCTCCGCCTTTTCGCTCTATTGGGTTTCAGCTAAGTAGTATTTTATTGGTGTCGTGAGTTCTTTTTTTGGCAAGCAAGTCGCTTGAAGGTCGGGCAGAACCTCCTTTCCTTAGAGGAGCAGATATGAGGTCGGCTGTGAGATATGTGACCTCCCAAGAGTTTGGTTGCTGCCCCGCTGCTAGACAGAATCGCTAACGTTAAATATGTTGTCGAAGGCTTTCACGGCTGGAGTTCATTAGCTGTTGTAGATTTTCCGGGTTGTCTGGCTGTGGTCTTGGCATTGTAGGACCTGACGTTTCAGAAAGCACAGAAAGGTTTCCTCAGAAATTGTTTCCTCAGAAATTGTTTCCTCAGGAAACATATACAAATCCATATACAAAAGAACCTCCTCAGGAACGCTCCTCCATTAGCTTGTTCACAGCCTGGGGAACTCCTACAAGATAATGACTCAGCCCTACCCCACCTTCCTGAGTAGATATAAATTACCTGCCTACCATTTTTCTTCTCACCTTGAGACAGAGAGTACTCCGTCTTTTTGTTATACCTCTGAGGATGCCAGTCACAGCTACTGGCGAAACGTCAGGTCCTACAGTACTAAGACCACGGCTGTGCAGCCCGGAAATTCTACAACAGCTAATTGCTAACGTTGTTCGGTCCTGTTCCAAAGAGGCCTCTCATCTTCCATTGTATAGGGAATCCAAAGGGGGAAACCCACCTGGGAGCTGGTGGGGCTGTCAGGGAAGATAAAACTAAAATCCAGTGGCACCTTAAAGACGAACAACGTTTATTTCGAGGGTGGCCAGACTTGCTTACCGTAAGAGCCACATAGAATAAACGTCAGGTGTTTGAGAGCCGCAAGACATAAACAAATACCACACAAATGTTTTTATTGGGAAATATGCAAATTTGCTTTTTTATTAACATTATAAATGAGACTGCTAGAAATATAAACCAAAGGTTAAAAACAAGTATCGATAATGATATTTATTTGTCCAGTGATATTTATTTGTTTGCTAATAATATTTGTCTAAGAGACAAAGGAAGAGAGAGGTGGAGAGAAAGAGAGAGAGAGAGAGAGAGAGAGCATATAGATGGGGGAGGGGAGGAATGAAGGAAGGAGAGAAAGTGAAAGACAGAAAGTGGAAAGAAAGCAAATATATGGAGGGAGGGAAGAAGAAGAAGAAGAGATTGGATCTATACCCCGCCCTTCACTACCCAAAGGTGTCATCTCAGGCCAATGGCCCATCCAGTCCAACACTTTGTGTCACACAGTGACCAAAACCCAGGTGCCACCAGGAGGTCCACCAGCGTGTTCTTTGTAAGGATCTCCCAGCATAGAGACCACGCTTGTGAGAGGCAGGCATGTGCTGATGGAAATGGAACACATTCCAGCATGTGAGAAGTCTGTGTTGTCAAAACCGCCTTCTCAGTCTTCTAGGTCTTGTGTTGTGGTCTTCGCTGCCACTTTCAGGATGAGAAAGTTGGCCAAGGCTGAAGGCCTAGACTGCTAGAACATCCACTGGCAGTTGAAGGAAAGGACCTGGGAGCAGTTATGCTGTTGAGAAACCACAGCACAACACTCTATCAGACTCCTTCTAAATCAGAAGGATAGCAGTTTCAGATAGTGGTGTGCATTCGGTATAAACCCAGCCGAATAAATACCCGAAACATACCTGTTTTTCAGGTATTTATTCAGCTGAATACAGATTAGGGAATCTGATTCGGCTACCGATACAGCTGAGCCAGAATAAAAGCCGGGTGAAAATCGGCTTTTATTCGGGCTCAGCTATACCCATTGGCTGGTGCGCTCCTCTTGAAGCTTGCAGCTTGCTGCAAGAGGAGCCAGCTCCAGCCATGGTGGGGTGTGGCTTGCAAAAGCCATTTAAAGGTACATTCCAGGCAGCTGCTGATCATGGGCACAGGTCATCTGCTTTTTGCCACGGATGCTTTTGGCTGCTGCTTACGCCGTCCATCAGCTAGACAGAGTCGAGTTGTTTCAGCGCAAGACAACTTCAGTAGCGCTGTCTGTCCACAAGCTGTCTATCTTCAGCATGTTGCCCTCTAGCTTAATGTGAACAAGTCAAATGTGGACAATCACAACCTAATCAGAGGACAAACGTAAAGAAAACAGCCGTTAGAGTCTGACCCACAGATCAAGCAGTCAACAAGACTTGCAAAGAAAATGCTTTCTGTATATTAAAGCACTACAACACAGTACAATAAACAAACTCCTTCAAATCATAAGAAAATCCTAATGTAAAAATACATCATCAACGTCATCTCCGGACTGTATAACAACGTTTCGAAATGGGATCTTCCTCAGGAAATATTAGAGTAGTACAAAAGCTCTCTTGCTCATAAAGTGCTTTACAAAAAGTCATAATACATTCAGATAGGACGCTGATCTCAATAAATACTCAGGCTCAAATATTATCTCTCATGACTTTTTGTAAAGCACTTTATGAGCAAGAGAGCTTTTGTACTACTCTAATATGAGCCTGCTTTGCGGGGAGGGCGGGGTATAAATTTGACTATAAATAAATAAATAAAATAAATATTTCCTGAGGAAGATCCAATTTTGAAACGTTGTTCTATAATCCGGAGACGACGACGACGATGTATTTTTACGCTAGGCTTTTCTTACGATTTGAAGGAGTTTGTTTATTGTATTGTGTCGGAGTGCTTGTCGACCATAATATACAGAAAGCATCTTCTTTGCAAGTCTTGTTGGCAGCTTGATCTGTGGGTCAGACTCTCACGACTGTTTTATTTACATTTGTCCTTTAAGGTGAACAGGTGCCAGTCCTTCCTCATGCCCGTTGCTTGTGGTCTCTCCAGAAGTGATTCTGGAAACCTCGCCTTGCCCAGAGAGGGGGATTTTGAACCGAGATACCGCACCGTCATTGTGATTGCTGTCCGGGCTGTCTGTTCCCTTGGTAACACCTTCTCTTCTGTCTTCACTCAAGCGACGCTACTGATGAAACAGGCCTGGCCCCAGACATCGTCCTCTTGTGCCACTGAGGGTACCTTTCACCTCCCAGTGGACACTGGGACCGAGAACAGAGCATACCAAGCGTCGTCGGCAGCATTCAGTAAATAGAACTTTACTTCTGGGGTTATTGTTGGTTGTTTTGCCTCCTCTCTTCTCCTCTCTTGTCTGTCCCTCTCTTCCCCCACCCCTTTCCTCTTTTGATTTGGGAGGGGTGGGTTTATATTGCCTGTTCTTTTTTGTATTCATCGTTTCGCCACGATTCCCTTTATCATTTAAGTGAGAGAAGGAATAATTGGAGAAAGCGGGCACTGCCCGCCGGAAGGCGAGCTGTTCTCGTTGCGATGGATGGGGCTTGCTCCTGTGCGAGCCTCCCTCCTTTTAGCTGATCTGTGCAAGCAATGTCCTCAGCGAGAATCGTGCCCCTCAGTAGGGAGATGGCGGGAAGGACGGCATGCAATCCTCCTGCCTGCCTTGCCTTACGGATCTCTTTTACTGCTTTGCAGGTGGCGTGGAGTGATAGAGAGGGTGTTTTCAAATCCTGTTAAGAGGCAGCGAGGGTTGTGTAGAGTCCGGAGTAGCAAGCAGAACTGAACCCAGAAAGCATTAGGGCAGGGATCCCCAACCTGGCCCCGTGGGTGGGCGCCAGTACTTCTCTTGGGGCCTGCTAAGCTTTTCAAGAAGTAGAACCGTTTTAAGACAGGGCTTGCTATTGGCTGGATTTCCCCCGGAGGACCAAAAGGACTAGAGGGCACCCGGGCTTTCCTTAGTCAGCGCGTGGCTTCATTCCCCCCCTCAAGATCTCCTTCTTCCCAGGAGGCGTGAAGAGGAAGGCATTCCGTTTGGCTCGGGCTCCCCCCCCCCGTGGCCGCCATTTTCATTTGGCTCCGCCTCCTATGGCAGCCATTTTGGGGTGGCCCTCACCACCCCTCTCTCAAAATACCAGAGGTGCCTTGCGGGCTCAAAAAGGTTGGTGACCCCCTGCAGTAGGGAGATACAGCCAATGTTCCCTCTAAGCTGTGGAGTCTTGTGAGGAAAAATCGTACTTTGTGAGCTGCTGGCATTAAAGTTGTGAGCGGGAGATGTGGCTACTGCATAAATTAGATTGCTCTGGAGCCATCCTTCCTGAGCTGAGACAAAAATGTGTGAGCCGGAGGCTAAAAAACTGTGAGCTAGCTCACACTAACTCAGCTTAGAGGGAACACTGGACACAGCGTACACACGTCTGGCTGCACTATTTCACATCCCCCTCATCAAACAGGCGTCACCTGCAGGTTGGGTGCTGCGACCGGATTGAGAATGCGCCACCTCATTGACGGTTTGCATAAAGCAGCCCCCCCTTATGGCTTCTGGTAGTCTTCTGGTAGTCCCTGGCCCCAAGGATGTCCGATTTGCCTCAACTAGGGCCAGGGCCTTTTCGACCCTGGGCCCACCTGGTGGAATGAGATCCCTTATGAGATCAGGGCGCCGCGGGACCTTTTACAATTCCGCAGGGCCTGCAAGACGGAGCTCTTCCACCAGGGTTTCAGCTGAGGCAGCGGGCATCCACCTGATACGGCCTCCCCTCCAGGGACCGCAGATCACTATTACGGGTATCAGCATCATCTGTGGAGGCATATTGGACATCTAGTATTAGATTGCTTTCGGTTTTGAATCTTATTTATGTGCTTTAAATTTTAATTGTAAAATTCTGTTTGGAACCCGCCCTGAGACTATGTGGGGAGGGCAGGCTATAAATTTTATTAAATAAATAAATAAATTTTCTTTGAGAGCCAGTTTGGTGCAGTGGTCAGGAGCGCGAACTCTAATCTGAGAGAACTGGGTTTGATTCCCCACTCCTCCACTTGCAGCTGCTGGTGTGACTTTGGGTCCATCACAAGTTCTCTCAGAGCTGTTCTCTCAGGAGAAAGCTCTCTCAGCTCCACCTCCCTCACAGGGTGTCTGTTGTGGGGAGGGGAAGGGAAAGGAGTTTGTAAACCGCTCTGAGACTCCTTCGGGTAGTGAAGGACGGGGTATAAATCCAATCTCTTCTTCTTCTTTTATCTCACAAGGTGTCTGTTGTGGGGAGGGGAAGGGAAAGGAGTTTGTAAACCGCTCTGAGACTCCTTCGGGTAGCGAAGGGCGGGGTATAAATCCAATCTCATCATCTTCTTCTGCAGTTTGGTGTAGTGGTTAAGTGCACGGACCCTAATCTGGGAGAACCGGGTTTGATTCCCCACTCCTCCACGTGCAGCTGCTGGTGTGACCTTGGGTCAGTCACAAATTCTCTCAGAACTGTTCTCTCAAGCGCAGTTTATGTCAAGAGCTCTCTCAACCCCATCTACCTCACAGGGTGTCTGTTGTGGGGAGGGGAACGGAAAGGAGTTTGTAAGCCGCTCTGAGACTCCTTCGGGTAGTGAAGGGTGGGGTAGAAATCCAATCTCCTCCTCCTCTTCTTCTTTGGAATTTATCACAAATGCTTACAATTCCAGATGTTTTTGGGGCAGCAGCTGCAGGTTCCTCAGGGTACCTTTCCAACAAACATCTGTCATGCAGCTGGCTATGCTTTTAGGAAGGGCAAGCATTTTGTCTCCTATTCTGTTCTTGGGATTATTGGTTATGAGTTGACAGAGGTACGAAGGCAGGATGGTGAGAGGGTTGGAATCCAAGTCTTACGAGGAAAGGCTGAAAGAGTTGGGTATGTTTAGCCTGGGAAAGAGAAGGCTTAGAGGGGACATGATTGCAGTCTTCAAGTATCTGAAGGGCTGTCATGTAGAAGATGGAGCCGATCTATTATCTCTAGATCGAATGGGTGGAAATTACAAGGGAGTCGATACCGGCTGAATATCAGGAGAAACTTCAGGGGCAGAGAAACTTCCTAACTGTAAGAGTGGTTGAGCAGTGGGACAGACTGCCTCGGGAGGTGGCGGATGCTCCTTCGCTGGACGTTTCCAAGCGGAGGCTGGACGGCCATCTTTCGGGTATGTTGTAGGGCTATCTTTCGGCTGTGCTCCTGCAGAGTGCAGGGGGTCGGACTAGACAACCTGCAAGTTCCCTTCCAGCATTCTATGATTCTATTATCCTGTTGCTCCCAGACGGCAGGAACTCTCTGCAGATGGCCGGAGATTCTAGGGCTGGCTCTGGGAGGTCTTGTCTTGGGGGACAAGTTGGAGGGGGCTGAATAAGTGTAACCTTGAAGGTTCACAGTGACCTCCAAGTGGGGGAGGGAGCAGAAGGAGAGCTCACGTTCAGCATTAGCATAGATTCAGGTCCTAGCCAATGTTCCTTCTAAGCTGCGGAGTCTCATGAGCAGAAATTCTACTTTCTGAGCTACGGGCATTAAAGCTCTGAGCGAGCGTTTTGGCTGCTGGATAAATCAGTTTGCTCCGGAGCCCTTCCTTCCTGAGCTGAGACAAATATGTGAGCCGGAGGCTAAAAAACTGTGAGCTAGCGCACACTAACTCAGCTTAGAGGGAACACTGGTCCTAGCCTGTGCTTCTCCGTGGTGGTGCGTTTGGATGCCAGTCGGTCGTACAAAACGTCCAGTGGGGATTCTGGTGCCGTCACACATTTGGTGGGCCTTGAATCATAAATCATAAGAATCACAGATTGTTTCCGGGGGACGGGGAGGTGGGTAGCCGTGTTGACCTGCAGTAGAACAGGTAGATATGAGTCTAGGAGCACCTTAGATTTCAAAAATCAAAGTCCCCTCTGTCAGATGTGCCGAGGGCCGTGGCTCAATGGTGGAGCACCTGCTTGGCATACAGAAGGTCCTGGGTTCAATCCCTGGCATCTCTGGTTAAAAGGACCAGGCAGGAGGTGATGGGAAAGACCTCAGTGGCAGAGCACCTGCTTGGCATGCAGAAGGTCCCAGGTTCAATCCCCGGCATCTCCGGTTAAAAGGACCAGGCAGGACGTGATGGGAAATACCTCAGTGGCAGAGCACCTGCTTGGCATGCAGAAGGTCCTGGGTTCAATCTCCGGCATCTCCTGTTAAAAGGACCAGGCAGGAGGTGATGTGAAAGACCTCAGTGGCTCAGTGGTAGAGTATCTGCTTGGCATGCAGAAGGTCCCAGGTTCAATCCCCGGCATCTCCGGTTAAAAGGACCAGGCAGGAGGTGATGGGAAAGGCCTCAGCAGAGCACCTGCTTGGCATGCAGAAGGTCCCGGGTTCAATCCTTGGCATCTCCGGTTAAAAGGACCCGGCAGTAGGTGATGGGAAAGACCTCAGGGGCAGAGCACCTGCTTGGCATGCAGAAGGTCCCAGGTTCAATCCCTGGCATCTCCAGAT